CACGTGAGTTTAGACATTAACGTTGTTTCTTCGTGAAGTACAATATGGCCTACAATTAGTCACCCGACGAAAAGTCATTACCGGACCATTGTAATCGAAGGAAAGCGTGTCGAGAACGTGCTTCGTCTGCTTCTTATGGACGAACGACGACGACGGCGACGGCGACTCGGCAGCTAAAAAACGCAGCAAATATCGCCAACGGATGTGTACGAGCCTGATAAAAAAAAGAGGATGTGTTCGGCCGTGTAGGTGCGTGTAGCATCCGAAATGAAAAAATTCCGGACACATTTCGATCGCGTATGCAGAACATGGAAGAACATCGGTGAAAGCTCGCGAATATTTCTCGCGGCTCCCGTTATTTCGGCGAACCTCGAGCGGCGCCCGGCGATTTCGGTGTTCACCCTGTAGAGAATCGTCTTTTAAGCAGCTTATAAACTGTACGCGTAATTGGGCCGAGCAATTTTCCCGGCGTTTCGGTCGCTTTATCTTAGAAGCGCCCGGAACGTTTCGAGGGCGGAAGGCGCTCGTGGGAATCGGGGCTGAGACTCGCAGATAATTTCGGACTCGACCGCGGACTTCGGAGTTTTTTAATTTATATGATAATGCCACCGCCGCGGAGGACCCGATGCGTATTCATGAACATCGGGCCGATCCAATAACCGAGATTCATACTCGAAAAAAAAGAAATGTGAATAGCTGATGAACAGTTGTTCCGGCGAAGTGCCGCTGGCCCGGCCGTGCATTGTTGTTTAGCTAATTGTGGCATAGTCGACGGCTGTTCGTTCGCTGGGAGGACGGAGCCTCGATGCTGTTTATGGAGCACTCTTCGTCCCATCTAGGTTAAAACTAACGCTTCGATCGGTGGCTGAACCCTTTGTGCCCGGCCCGCGCGACTCCGTGGCGCCATTAAGAATTTCTGTGCCATCGTTTCAGCCAATTTTCCTAATTCTGTTTGCTGCCCGACACGATCCCCACTTCGGGACGACAAACTTCGTGAATCCGTGAAAGGCCGCTGCGATTTCGGCAAAGAACCATCGTGTCACCCTCGGTGACGAGATCTTATAATTACATACTTCAGGGATTTTACGAGATTCTTCAGCTCGTTTTTAACCCTTTGCTTAATTATTTTATCCTTTCTCGAGTCTTATTCTTTCTTTTTGCACGGCAAATTGGACGCATACTCGCGTCACAGTTCAAGATATAGCGGTTTAACTCTTTGGGGCACGGTGGGATTAAAAATGTCCCATCTTTTTGATGCACGATAATACATGGTGGGACATTTTTAGTCTCATCTCGAAATATTGCAATAGCTGTATGTACAGTGTCACATGAACCCATGTGGCACAGTGAGTCTATCTGAGTCCCAGCCTATAACCACAAATTGAATTGAATTATTATTATTCTTTTATATTTTTATATTATGTGATTCCTTTGTTAATAATAATATACCAATTTTGTTTAATTTAAAACGCAATAAAATGTCTGTGCAATATGGGACTATTTTATTTTCTGAAATCCTGTGCGTATAAGTCGAGTAAAAATTGCACCCCCAATAAGATGAATGCGTCACACATGATAGCCCGTTCGATTGTTCGATGTTAGAAAGACATTCTTATTTTGGCGCAGTTTTATGTTTCGATTTAAGAACGAGAACGTTCGGCGATCGATAAAGTCGGTATTAAATAGACGATGGAGTGATTTGTACGTCCAACCCCCCCACCGATTAGTATGCTCGCAACGGGAAAATTCGGTATCGACAGTCCAGAGACATTCTATTAAAAGAGATTCAGAGCCAAGATGAGAGATATCCGATTTTGACGTTATAAGGAGAGCATCAATATTTCAGTGGCATCCGTTTTACTTCCTGGAGCTTCCCGAACCGTTTTGTTAATATTGAAAATGTTCGTCGCAAAGAGCACCGTATAACCAAGGCACTTATATATCGAACGACCTCGTTGAAAGAAGCGGAGAGATGCTCTACGTTACCCGGAAAATTCGTTATCGGTAAACATTATTTCCATTTTTGCTGCTTCGCCGCAAAAATCGGATTATTCGAACTTAATGGATTTATTATAAACGGTTAAAAAGTTTTATCGTTTATAATTTTTTATCCATAACGATCATCTTGCGTGCGATATTCTTATTCGAATAAATTCTTATTCGGATAAATTTTAATCTAGATAAATGTTTAGTCGATTGTACATTTATTTATTTATTCATGTATACGTGTAGAACAACCCTTGGTTTCTATGTTACCCCAGTAACCGTTAATTATTTCAATTTTGAGAGATAAGCGCAATTTCACTGTCAACGATTATTTTTCAAAATTACTAATAGGTATGTTATTATAATGAAAAAAATAGGTCGTTGAATTCAGTCGCCAAATTGAGTATCGTCTTTGGAGTATTATATATTAATTCTGATAAAAACGATAACTTTATCCGACATCTTTTACATTAAAAGTACACTAAAACCAATATCCAACATACAAATGCTTTCGCGTAAATTCGTAACGGCATGGGATGCACAAAAATTCGCAGCCCAGTGGCATCGAACAAGCTTTCGGTAGAAAATGTCGGCGGACGTTGAGGTGGTTTCGATGAACCCCGGAGCCGTTCTTCTTCAAGAACCACGGTCACGGAAAGGCTCTCGAACCGCTGCCGACCGAGTGGCATACAAATCGTTCCCTCGAAAATTTCACGTGACCGAGCCGACTATATTTTCCGCTCGGAGCAATCAGGCATTCATGGTTGCGGCACGTCAGACGTGTGTTCGGCGATTACGAGACACGGTGATTATCGAATCAACGCCGGAGCGAAGTCCGAACGCAGGAATGTGCACGCTTCTGCACGGCGCGGCCGTTGAATGCCCGTTGAATGCACCGTGCACACCCGGCCGGTGCCGACGAGCAAAAAAGAGCACGATATCCCGTTCCGCCGAACACGCGAAAAAATAGAAAACGGATCGATAATGGCGAATTCCCTTATTTTTCTATTACTCTGTATTATATTATATTATATATCATATTGCCTTTTTAATATTATATTATATTATATTGCATATGCAACGGCTGATAAATAAACAGCGGCGGGTCGCGTGACTTCCGGTTCGGTTAACCCGGCGCGAACACGCTTGCACGGAAACAATGCCCGCCGGGAACGAGGGAAAGCGAGTGATGTGCGCGGGATACGTGACATTAAATGGCACCGCGCTACAGAAATTTAATATGGCGTGGATAAAACGTGCAGGAGAAAAATATGAAATCGGATACTGGTGAAAGACATTTCGAGATTAGGCTTCTTATCGGCCTCTTTGTTGTGTAAATGAGATTGTTCCATTACGATTTTACGATCTAATTGTTTGAAGAAGAAAAAAAAAAGAAAAGAAACGACCCAGTTCGTCGCGTCGCAATGGCAACAGATGTTGTTTTGCTAACGATTGTTTTCATGCCGCGACGTCGTTTAGCCTTCGGTCCGTAATATTGCAGCTTTCAGGATGATTCGCGAAAAATAAATTTCCATTTTCTAACCGACGATGCTTTCCGTCCCGGTGAAAGCGGACGGTAAGGCCCCGCGCGCCTCTTCTCGCCTCGATGTATAAATGATTCTGTTGCCGCGTTTAAAAATCCCAGACAAGGACCCGAGCGTAATTAAAAATCTAGGAGTGCCCGGGACGATTCTGCACGTCCGATCATGTTAACGGGGTTACCATAATTTAGGGGCGGCGACGCGATGCAGCGCAGGAGAGATTGATTTAAATGTTACGGAAGATTTAATGCAATTACTGGTACAGAATTATCTCGGTCAATATTGGATGTCTGCTACGTGAATTGTAAATGCGGTCCTAACAATTGTTGTGTGTGATAACATTTCAATCATCTTTCAACAAACTGGATCAGTTGTGGTCCAGTTGTGATGGAAAACCGTTCTTAGTTCTATCATTTTTATTAATATTGTTATTAATTTCATTCTTGCCTGTTAGGCTTATCTTTGGTGAAGATATTATTTGATATAATATTCTATTATATTTAAGAATTAATAGTCTAATAATCTTATTTAATCTACTCTAATAATTCACCAAGAAAAAGAAACGCAAATGAAAAAGTAAGCTTACCTTATCTATCTAAAATCTGGTAATCTAATCGAAGAAGAAACATAAAAAAGAGAAGAAAACGTAACTATCGGTTTCCATTTCTTCTTCATCTTTGGTCTTCGACACCCCAGTTTTTAATTCTACTATTAATAATTGATAATTTGAAGTAACAGCGGAAGAGCTATAATTCAAATCGAATTAACTCTGGGCAAGAACGGAGGGTTCGAAAGGTCACCGATGATCGCGCAACTAAAGATAGAAAAAACTATAAATTATGTACGTTGTTCCGAGGGGTGCATGTAAATTGTGTCGGGTGTTCTAACGGATCGAACCACGGAATGCTGACTTGTCGTTTGTTTCCCTCTAATCCGAGGCAATGCTGACGAGGTCTCGTCGTCATCTTTCAAGAGGATGCGAAACGGATCGGCGGGGAATGATTGTTGTTGTTCTAACTGTAGTGAATTCGTTCTGTTCCAGATACGAGACCGGCACACATAGTCATGTGATTCCCCCGACGACGGGGCAGGTGTCTGAAATTCGGTTGTGAAAAATCCCAGTCAGAAAAGGAGGGAGGAACCGTGTGTCGCAGGCCTGTTGGTACGACAATAATTTTTCAATAGAAAGTAGAGAAAAGTTCGGCATGAAGATCGCCAGGCTAAAATGTATCGTCTAACACGATCTTCCTAGCAAAAGGCATCTTCACTTTTCCCACTTAGTGGCCAGATCCTCTAGGAACAATGTCCTGCTTCCCAAGACAACATAATCGCTCGCCATTCCTAACTTTCACTCATCATTCTCTCGTGAACATTCCTGTTCCAACCGATAGTCGGATGACCTGACAGTAATTACCTTTAGTAAATCCCAAAAGATAGTTACATTAGGTTGTATTGCACATAATAACTTCTTTGGTAACAAAAGAATCAGCTATAAGAGAGTTCATTAAAAACCTAGAACAGCCCCTATGAAATGTCCCTATGAGATAGTATATTAGAAACCTAAAACATCCCCTATGAAATAGTTCATTAGAAAGTTAAAATAATCTCTATGAAACCTAAATTCTTAAAAGACCATCAACTCACACTAAATAAATAGCCAAAGGCCTCTCGCAGGCTAACAAGCCTTAGCCTTCAAAGTCTGAACCACCTCTTCGTTGTCTTCCTGAAAACACGTTGACTAAAACTGTGTTTCCAACAGGTACATCCGGTCGGTACGCCCGGGGGATGATCTCGGAGCTCAAGGCGACAATTAGCCGCGTCCGAAAATGTTCCGCTGCAAGATTCGCATTCACACGTGCCAAGTGATACTGCTTACGTCTCTGGTATGGTTCCTGGTGGACGTGATGGTGCTGATGCACTATTCGGACTGCAAAGGCGGGTCCGGATGGGGCTGCACAGAGAGCAGCAAGCAGCAATCGTTGACAGAGGAGAGCGTCCCCCATCCGAAGGCCCTCAAGGACGAGCAGGTGCAGCCGACAGGTCAGCAGGGCAAGCGAAAGTACAAGCAGTCGGAGCTGCACTTTTGGAGACCGGCGAGGTTCGTGCGTGAAACGAAGGGTAGCCACGGCGAGATGGGCGCAGCAGTGCACATCCCGCCGGAGGACGAAGCCAGGCAGCAAGAGCTGTTCAAGCTGAATCAGTTCAACCTGATGGCCAGCGATATGATCGCGCTGAACCGGTCCCTCAAAGACATCCGTTTAGAGGGGTGCAAAACGAAGAAGTACAGCAAGTATTTGCCCGACACCAGCATCGTCATCGTCTTCCACAACGAGGCCTGGAGCACGTTGCTGAGAACCGTTTGGTCGGCCATCAACCGATCGCCGCGCACCCTGCTCAAAGAGATCATTCTTGTCGACGACAAGAGCGAGCAAGGTGAACAATTCAATGTTTTACATAGAGCACTATTTAACACAAGCCGTCTGATCCTTTTTATTAAAACAGCTCTTGAAGTTAGGGGATGAAAGAAGCGTTTACCAGAATTAATAGGCTACGCAGTCTTTTCATCCCCAACTTGAAGGGCTATTTTCGCTCCCCTTGGATTTAGAAAGCTACTTGGATGGTACAGTATTTATAGACAGTGAACTGTTATAATCGTTTACTTACTTCTGTAGTAACGTTTACGTGCTTCTGTAGTAATGTACCGTGCAGTAACGTTGACTTGATCCACAGATCACTTGAAACAAGAGCTGGAGGACTACGTAAAAACGCTGCCTGTTCCTACATACGTATACCGTACCGAGAAGAGATCGGGCCTAATAAGAGCTAGACTGCTCGGGGCGAAGCACGTGAAGGGGCAAGTTATAACATTCTTGGATGCGCACTGCGAGTGCACCGAAGGCTGGCTGGAACCCTTACTCGCCAGAATCGCGGAGGACAGAACCACCGTTGTTTGTCCCATAATTGACGTAATTAGCGACGATTCGTTCGAATATATCCCAGCAAGCGACATGACGTGGGGCGGTTTCAATTGGAAACTGAATTTCAGATGGTAAAATACATTATTTATTTTCTAAATTAATTTTGTTTCTGAAGAATAAATGAACGGTTCACCTCGATAGAAAAATTGTGCGGAGATTGCTAAGCGCTTCTAACGCAGAATCCTTGAACTTTTAAGGTACAGAGTAGCACCAAGAGAGATGGACAGAAGACTAGGAGACAGAACGGCCCCCCTGCGGACACCGACCATGGCCGGTGGGTTATTTGCTATTGATAAGGAGTACTTTTATGAACTAGGAGCGTACGACGAAGGCATGGACATTTGGGGCGGTGAAAATCTTGAGATGAGTTTCCGAGTGAGTACCTTTACATTGGTTGCAACGCAAGTCCATTAAAAAGTAATCGGTGAAATGTATACGTTCAACAGCGATCACGTTGATTAATGAATTGACCATTGTTCTCCAGGACAACATAGCTTTTATCAAAAGAACCTAAACACGTTATACTGTTTTTGTTTTCCCTTTTTCAGCTGCAATCCTCGTGAAAAGATTCATTTACTTGCAGTAAATTTGTTGTATTTTAAGTAGTAATTTAGTAATTATACTTAATACTAGAACTTCAAGTATCTAGCATATGGCTTAGTCCAAGGTTATATGCAATTGATTCCACCATATGTTCCGACGTCGAGCTAGTCCATAATTCTCTTGAAGTTTTAGTGTTAAGTGGTAATGGGATTCTGTAATTTAGTTGTTCAAAGACTAAAGGATTTGTGATTCCAATTAGAGGGTTTAACTGTGGACACTTCCATCTTCATTTGTGAAGTCATAAAGTACCTTATAGGTATGGCAATGCGGCGGGACGTTAGAAATCAGTCCGTGTTCACACGTCGGACACGTATTCCGAGACAAGAGTCCATATACATTCCCCGGTGGTGTCAGCAAAGTAGTACTACACAATGCGGCTAGGGTGGCCGAGGTCTGGATGGATGAGTGGAGAGATTTTTACTATGCCATGAACCCAGGTTAGATAAATAACGTGTATCATTTTTCATTTGTTTACTTTTGTCTTTGCATAACTCTCGAATTGTACTTTAGAAAAAAATATGCAATTGTTCTAATTTTTACAACGAGAAAGAGAGAGAGAGAGAAAGAGAGATTGGCCTCTCTGCCAGAGTACACAGAAGGTAAAGACTTGATTGAACAATAGATGCTTGTGTTCACACAGCGTCTATAAACACTAACATAGAATGCATTGGTATAGAATTAGAACATACTTACAAAACAACTGCGAGTATTTATGTATGCGTGACGGGTATCTGATACGAGCTACACTGTAATATCTTCAATATGAAGGAAAAAGTATACTAGAGCTATACTTTTATTTGAGTATAATCTTTTATTTAAGTAATAACTAGATTGCCGTATTTCTTAAAGTGTACTTTAAAGTCTATTGGAAAGACAAGCGCTTCCAGCACAGTGTTTATTACAGAAAACATTTATTACAGTCTTAATCCAAAATGTTCACAGTGAACTAAACGTTACATTATATTAACACCAGTAATTTTGTAGCTTCTTGAAATTCAGCTCTGTAAGATTAACGACAAACATTCTTTAGTATATTAACCAAATCGTTTGTGCATCTAATTTAGAGTTTTACATTAACAAGTGTATTGACACGTAAATGTATTTTGGATAACAAAACACTTTTTACTTGTGTGTGTGCGTGCGTATGTGTGACGTGGATTCTGGGATCTAGACGTGTTACAGCCAGCGATGAGATTTAATTTCCAGGAGTAAGATTGATTTTGTTGCATTTCGATATTATTATAATACTTCAATATAGTCTTAACCACTCATCCATCCAGCTGACTAACAGAATGAGTTTCCTTGCTTTTTTGTTTGATACATATTTGTAAGGCTACGTTATAGGTACCAGAGAGGTGAGGCGAAGATATCCGTCTGAGCAATTCCAAGTCTAGTGTTTTTATTAGCTCTTTTTTTTTTCTTGTGATTGTGTTATGAACTGTAATTGCTAACATACTAACAGAACTGAGTTGGTTAGATATGGATGTGTGGTGGGACATTGGAGATCGCAACGTGCTCGCACGTCGGTCATGTATTCCGTAAAGCAACACCGTATACGTTTCCTGGTGGTACCAGCAAGATAGTGAACCACAACAATGCGCGACTCGCTGAGGTCTGGTTGGACCAATGGAAGTACTTCTATTACAACATTAATCCAGGTAGCACTAACAACCCAGCAATTTCTGGAAAAAAGAAACCAAGCAAAATGAACAAACTGCAATGTCGCTGCTGAGCCCCTATATACGCCTCTTTATGTATTCTTTCCGGCTTATTTGTTTCTTCGTGCATGTGTCTTTTCTTTTTCTGTTTGGGAGATTGGTTGGAATGCTTTTATAAGTTGTGTACACGACGGAAAATTCTTGTAGCCAAGTACCAGCTACATGTATATCAGATACCCGTTAATGTTGTTCGCACAAAGACAATGTCTGAAACGTCCCTTTTATTTGACGCCTATTGTTCAGCCTAGGAGAGAAATCTATTTTATGTACATGTAAACAGAAGGCAGTCCTCTACGTTTATGTGTTTTTGAACTCGAGATCTTGATACAAGTTGCGGTACAATAGCTCAGTTCTTTCAATCAGCAAGCATTTACAGCATTAATACACTACACGTTGCAATTCCTTTATGTTGGCACATGTTTCTGACACACTCTACCTTTCAGTGGACAATTATCCATGCAAAGCACAATACTACGTCACACAAGAACCAGAGGATTTTAATTTAAACATATTGAGATACACGTTTTAATTATAGGAGCTCGAAACGTAGCTGTTGGAGATGTGTCTGAACGATTGAAGTTGAGAGAACGTTTGAAGTGCAAGAGCTTCAGGTGGTATTTAGAGAACATTTACCCTGAGTCTCCGATGCCGTTGGATTATTACTATTTGGGTGACGTGCAAAACGATGACACGCTAACTTGCTTAGATACTATGGGTAGGAGAACGGGAGAAAATGTTGGGATCAGTTATTGTCATAGATTGGGTGGTAATCAGGTTCGTCGGCAGACTTTGATCAGTATTTAAAAGCTGTATCTGTATTAATTCTATAATTATGTTAACATTAATTCCTTGTTCTCTCAGATATTTGCGTATACCAAACGACAACAAATAATGTCTGATGATATGTGCCTTGATGCAACTAGTCCCCAAGGTCCAGTCAAGATAGTCCGATGCCATGGTATGGGTGGAAATCAAGCATGGGTTTATAACGAAGAGGTAATAAAGCAGAAGAAACACAGATATATAGCCAAGTAGATATTGTATTGTATTGTAATATGATATTCATTATTTCGCAGACAAAAATGATCAAACACACGAATACGGGACACTGTTTGTCGAAACCGCGTTCCAACGACGCAGTACAGCCTGTTTTAGCACCGTGCGATTCCCATAACAGCGGCCAGAAATGGATAATGCGTAGTAAATTCAAGTGGCAAGCCAGCTAATATCAACTGAGTGTAACGACTGTATGTAACACTTGTTGACATATTTAATTACTATGAAGATTCGACAGTGAACAAGCTTCTACAAGATCAAGAGACGATAGTATTATATTCCGTAAAGTCCAATGTCATTTTAGATCGGTCCTCTGACTTTGTCCAGAAGTGATTGACCCGACGACAAAAAATTGACTTATACCTACAAACGAGAAATCGAAGTTGATGCTTTTAGTTGTATAAGATTTATTTACTGTTAATAGCAGTATCGTGTATTTACTGCCATTTGTCGTGGTATGCCTTGATTGATAATGCACAAGAACGTCGAAGAGGAGGAACAGAATAATTCCAACTGTGCGCGGTTGTACACGAGTGATACGAAAATACCGTCACGTACACGGATACTATTATTTTTCTTTCTTTTTTTTTGGAAGTGAACAATAGAGAGGAAAGCATATCAGACCACTGTTATAAATAAATGATTGTTGATACAAAAGAGAGACATATTTGATGATATGGGATGAGTGCAATGCTGGGATGACTGGAAGATATATCAGTGCATAAGAAACACGGATATGTTCGCGACGTAAGTGTCATTACAACCGAGTGAATGTCGGAGTGCAAGTGAAATCATTGTGACACTACTGATTGCAATCTAGGACTTATACTGTACAATTTTTCTAGCGATTAGGGAAGAGCACTGAATCTTTTTATACTGGTATTTCTAACAGTTCCTTGTTGCATCTTGTTCGTATGATTTAGTTTTTATTTTCTTTATATACGTGTTTTTCTTTATTTTTTGTTTTGTTTCGTTTGCTTTTCGAATGGATAAACATATGTACTTACACTTGAATTCGCCATAGTAATACGAGATTACATTCGCAAGATATCGTTAAGCATACGAAAAGAAGAAGCTATCGACTGTTATTCAATGTAATGTTATGTTTTTTACAGATTTTCTTGAATTCGAGACAGAACGTCTTCCGTATTTTATTAAAAAGCAAAATAACAAATATTTTTATGATGTCCTATCATCTTGCATAGTTGCGATTCTTAATGAATTTAGACTCTTTTTATCTCCTATGTACTAGAGGTGTGTGCTGAAAGATTTAAAGTGCAATATACTTGTTGAGTAAGTCTCAAGGAGAACAGTTTCCTGTAAGTAATGTAAAAATGTTGTTATCAGATTCTGGCGCCCTTCCCTTATATTGTAGTAGATTCAAGGTCATTTTTTTCACGCTCTAAAGAGGAGAAAGAGAGAAAAAGTAAAAAGGCAGAAACAGTCGACAAACTAAGTAAAACATTTTTTTTTTATGAAAGAAAAAAATGTTGACTGGCTGTAATATTTCCATTCACGGTGGAGGAAAAATCTAGCCAATTCTGCAACCTTAAATAAGAAGCCACTGAACTACATTTATAATATTTAAAGTATCTTATACGACTCTAAAATTTCAATTTAGGAGAATTTTACTATCAAACAATATACTCAGTTTTATGTTACTTGAAGGAATGGTGATGGTGCAACGGATTATCGTTTACAGCTTAATTATACATGCTTAAATATTCATGCAAAACTATAGTATTTATTTTTGTACAGGTCGATCAATTTCTATTAAATCAATATATTATTTTCGAGTATACGTTTAATTAAGAATTGTACTAGCAAAATTTGTAGATATTTATTAGCTGTTCAAACTGATGAAGTAAGAATTAAATAAGTTCAG